AATAATAAAATGGCAGTATACCGTACTTTGTCAACATATTACAATACAGATGAGAGAAATTAGAGAAAACTATTCACATAGAACTCTTCTGAACTATAATAGGGTCTACCAGATAATGAATCTCTTAGTGATTAGCCTCTGAAATTTCAATACGGCCGTGTAAATGATTACATACAGAGTCTTTAACTAGACTAGAGGCTAGTATGGGTACACTTAGATCATTAACTTGACGAAGGGCATGATTATTGGAATTTGACTCTGGAAGAGTCGTTTTCTTTGAAGTTTTTATTGAAGTTTATGAATGCAAGTATGTTCTTTAACTTTATGTGCCTGGTATGACGATTCCCCTTTTGTCATTGCAATTCAATCCCTAATAAATTGAAAATATGTTTCAATCTTCTGAAATTCCTGAAGTTTTTCCCAATTTTCATTTTGAAACCTTTTACCAAAAGTTGGGGGGTGAACTTCTGAGGGTAATGCTGTAAATGTAAAATAAAATGATACCTCAACTGCAGTGAATTTTGAGTTTCTATATCTATCAATACATCAACAGTTTTTCTAATTTTTTTATTGAGATCAATAGAAATACGTCATGCTGTAAATAACAATTTGATAGAAGAGTTGATAAATGCCTCATAGTTGACGGAAATGTGAAATATTTCCGGACATATTTTGTGTGAAATGCAACATTTTTGAATTTTCGCTCTTTTATAAAACATTTAGAATGAACATTTTTCAATCTAATATTTATTCATGACTCCAAATTGATAGGCTCTAATGAACTTTCTGTAACTGTTTGAGAAATGAAGGTTTTCTAGCCTGTAGTTTCATGGTGGACATGCGCATGTTTTACTTTTTCAAGACAAACAGAAATATTATGCGGAGGATTTTTTTTTTTCAAATGTTTTCGTCAACATTTGATTTTAAATTGTGAAACTCAGGTTACTTGTGAGTATTGTCCATTTCTTTTAGTTCTTTTCTATTGTATATCATTTTAGCGTCCTGACGAAGTCTCTATTCAGAGACAAAAGCTTGTCGATTTGTGAAATACAGTAAGTTTTGTTTTTTGAACGTATTTGACTGAAAGTCTTGTTAGTTCACATCTCTATATAGTCTTTTTCAACTAAAATTACTTTTTTTACCCTTTTCTGCCAGTCTTCCTCGGTAATATTATATACCGTGTTATGAATCACACGTCAAAAGGTAAGACCTCGTTAATCCTTGGCTCGCACAAGTTTCGACTTCTGAGGGTTGTCGTTCGTAGGGGTGCGACAGATAGTTAACGGAAAAACATATTTTTTGAACAGACTCCTTCTTTAACTAGCTCTATTATTTTATTATCAAATTTTGGAAAATTATTTTTCGCTTGATGCTTTATTTCAATGTTTCCCAAATCGCCTCGATGGGATTGAAAACACGAAAATAGGGGAGAAGTTTCGGTATGGTGTGTTCATACATATCAGCTATACTTCCTCCGCAATGCACAAAGATCAGTCGCGATCCTTTGTTTGCCGGCATGTTAAGCGTATACATTCTCGAACCATCAACTATCAGTCCACCCTTTCGTTACTTTGTTGTGAGTGTCATACCAAGTTGCGTCCAAATAAAAAATTTGCCGTTGTTCTTGTCTATATTTAGTTATTCATTCTAAGTATTTGTTGTGTAATTTCACTATTTTTCTGCTTTCCATAACTACATGACGTTTGTTTGTTATTTTGAATCTGAATCCAAGTTTCTTTATCCAATTCTGAAGAGTATTGTCACAGCAGCTCACGTAATGGCCGGAAGTATTCAATTTCGTCCTTATGATTTCAGTTGTATATTGTTTTTTTCAATGATTTTATTAGATGAACATCAAAAAGTTCTGGTAATCCCATATCACATCGCGTCTTGCGTTCATAAGGTTTGTTTTTGACAATTTCACGTACAGTTGAGAAAGGAATTTCGGTCAAATATAATGTTGCTTGTAATAGTGTGTTTCCCTCAGAACCAAACTTGAGATGTACATTTATAGATATATTGAAACATACTCTCTGTGTTTCAATATTCAAATGCATCCGAATCTTTTTCACTGGTATCTCTTTTTCGCATTGTTCACCATCGCTATTGAAATCACTATACAGGAAAAAGTCTGCGTTGAAGCATGACTCCATCATATCAACTTATGTTTCGAGATGCTATATCCGTCTNTAAATGAGTTTTCCTTTTCAACAAAGTTAGTTAAATAGTCGAATTTCTATTTCGAGATTCTTTGGTTAGACTTTCCAGAGATTGTTATTTATGATGTAGTAAAGGTCTAGTAGAAGAAAGAAAACGTTGCAATTTTATGACTAGGTAACTTCTTGCGAAATTATTATCTTTGTAATCGCCTTTTCTTCATTTAGGGGACCCCTACTTACAGTAATTTTGAGAAGTCCGGGGTTCATTGGCAAAAACTGTTGTATCAGACATTGTAAAAATTGTTGATCCTGAAAGTGTAGTCAGCTTAGCAGTTATCGTAAAATTGATGAATAGAAAATTAGGGTCTTCAAGATAAATTGAGATAAAGGAATCTCTTCCTAATATTGAAATGTGATGTCATGCATTTCAAAGAGGATTTAAAAAATTTGAAGTAACGCAAATTATAGTAGTAGTAAAATTATAAGGCTTCATGGTTTCTGTGAAACATCTGTAACTGCCTGAGTAGTCTGACTTTTGAATTCAGTTATTTCCATTTTTTTAGTTATTCATTTGCCATTTAATTCGCTTGAGGTTATTATTTCGGAATACATTAATTAATTTTGGTGTCAATTCTTGAATATATAGGAGTGATTTATATATGAATGAAGGTATAACGTTGTTATGTTCAACTTCTTCATTATTATTTTGAAAGTTTGTTTTTTCACAAAATGAAATTATGTTTACTAAAGACTTAGGATAAGAATTTTGGATCAGAATTTTACTGAAATTAGACAAACTTTGGTTTCGTAAATCGAGATGGGTAATTATGATGATTCTGTTTTTTAATTTAATAAAATCATTAAGAAGGAGAGAAATGAGAAGGGATGGAGGAGAATTTTTCCGTCACAGAGGATGGAGGACCAGATGTAATTGAATTGCAATATTGGTATGTATTTTATGAAAAAAAAACATTTTTATGAACAGTTTGAACTCCAACCTTGTTGAGGGTTAACCTTATTCAATCGAGCTGAAACTTCAACAATCTCATTTCCAACCCATTTGGCAGCTTTTAAGAGGGTCCCTTCGAAAAAATTCCAACATGCCCCCCCCCTTTTCTTTTTTGAACGGGTCAACTAAAAAAATTGAAATTTGGTATAATGAAATTAATGCATGAATACTTTATTTTGAAGTGAAATTGACAGATGAAACTGTCGAGATGGCGATGGGCGCCATCCTGAAGACAAACACATTAATATCGATATTTCTAGAAATATTCCTTCTTATCTGCCATATGGCAATTCCAACAACTCGATAAGGTTTGTTAAAATATTTTTTGTTACTAAAAACGACAAAAAAATGTTAGTACCACAATGAACATCACTGTACAGTTAGAAAATTCTCATTTACTTTTCGGTTCTACTATTAGAATTGTACCACGTCNACCACTGTAGTGTTATCCCTCTACATCCATAGATATTCAGCTTTCGTAGCAGTATTTTATGATCAACGCAGTCAAATGCTTTTGTGAGGTCACAAAATACTGCTGCAGCAGCATCTCCATCATTCATATTTGAATACACCTCAAACAGGAAAGAGAATTTTGCATCATGTGTGCTCTTGTTGCTCTGGAATCCAAATTGATTTTTCCTTATAATGTTATGGCGAAGGAGAAATTCATTGAGTAAATCCTGAACAGTCGACTTATTCCGTCGCGAATATTTGAGGTGTCCCGTTCTACTGTGTGGAGACTGTTGAAGAGGAATAGGTATCATCCACACAGAATTAAAATGATACACTAAAATGATACACCAATTAACTGACCCTGATCGAAGAACAGAATTCTGCGAAATCATGACGGAAATCATTGCAAGGCATCCTACCTATCTTCACAATATTTGTTTTAGTGACGAATGTACTTTTTTTTTTAAACGGCAATGTTCACAGAGAAAATTGCCTTTATTGGAGTGACACCAACCCTCACATTTTCCGGGAAACATATACCTAATATCTAGAAAAAATTAACCTTTGGGCAGGAATATTGGGAAACCATATTGTAGGACTTCTATTTATCAATCAAAATTCAACAGGGAAACTGTATTTGAATGCTGGAAACAACTGTTGACCCTCTCATCATTGAAATCGTCGAAGCGAATCCTAATGAATTCGATATGGATATTGTATTCCAACAAGATGGAGCACCACCACGTTACTCCAGACAAGTAAGAAACTATTTGGATACTACTTTTCCCGGTCGTTGGATTGGCCGTCGAGGTCCTACAGAATGGCCAGCCCGCTCGCCAGATTTGACAACTTTGGTGGCTGTTTGAAGCAAAAGGTGCACAAAACTGAACCTGCTTCAATATATGTCGAAAAGTTCAGGACAACCATTTCGAGCAGCTTCTGAACTGACCCAAGCTTATTACCTCATATTTTGTAGTTAAATGTCAATGTATTTAGGCAATTATTGAAAGTTCCGCCATTTTGTAGTAGTTGAAGATATTGACATTATATTCTAGGGTTGTGAAGCAAGTGTCATGAGCTTCAAAAAGATGTGCAACGAGACTCCCCTTTCCATTCAATTTTTTTCCCAGATGGAGCTCAGTCGCCATTTTGGAAGTTTCATCTGTCAATTTCACTTCAAAATAAGGTATTTATGCAATTATTTCATTATCCCAAATTTCAATTTCTTAAGTTGACTCGTTCAAAAAATAATAGGGGAGGATATTAAAGAAATGCACTGTATAACGTACATTCGAGAGAAGAACTATTCCTGGCACCTGAACTATATTCACCCTGTAGAAGCCCAATACAACAAAAAATTGAGTGTAAAGAAATTCATCGTTCATAGATAATGAACTGATAACTTATAGTCAGCTGAGAATCGATGTTAGTTGAACTCTAAAACAAGTATTTTTTGAAACAAAACTTTGACAACAAGATCTGCAGACAGTTTCACATAATTCAGAATGGACGAGAGAGAGAATAGAATTGTGAAAGCTTGTGGAATGATATGCGCACTATACGAAATGAACGTGGCATGTCAATTTTTGTTGTGTGGTCGACTTGTACTTTTTCTATTAGCATTATTCTTGTGTAAAATAGGGGAAGGTGAGTTTCATTGAGATTTTTTAAACATAAACTGTAACTATTATATAGCAGTTGTGGCAGCAATCAAACTGATCAACTGTGAATAACCTACAATTTTCCTAATGAACGATTAGATCTCATTTCAATTCTACAATAAAAAACTGTTTCAACAAATAATATTGAATTTTGACATGACAATGAATATTACTGGAGTTCTTTCCCAACACCAAATCGATATTTTTAACACCTCAACACGTGTTTCGATCACCAAGTGATCATCTTCAAAGATGAAGCTTGAAACTAGAAACTGATGCGAGCTAACCCTATTTATGCTATAAAGGTAACCCATTCAGGTACACCGAATCCAAGTTTCTTTATCCAATTCTGAAGAGTTTTGCNCATTGTTCACCATCGCTATTGAAATCACTATACAGGAAAAAGTCTGCGTTGAAGCATGACTCCATCATATCAACTTATGTTTCGAGATGCTATATCCGTCTCTCCCACTCAAAACGAGTCATGTGATAAGTGGGAATCGTACCACAACCACCACCACTACCCATACAATTATATAAGTCGACCTAACCTACCCTAATCTAACCTAACCTACCCTAACCTAACGTAACCTACCCTAACCTAACGTAACCTAACCTAACCTACCCTAATCTAACCTAACCTAAACTAACCTACCCTAACTTAACCTAATTCGCGCGCGGAATACATTCACCATGCTCGTGCAATTAATACGTCATCTGTTGGTTTTGGTTCTATTATTCTAACATTTGGATTAATGTTCAAAACAAAAAAAAACAGAAATTTTAACTAATTATTACTGCACCAATATCGAATTTCAACACTTGAATCGCGATCAGTTCCTGAACTGAACATTGACAACCGTCTGCTATAACCATCCTCACATTCTATTCGTCACCGTAACATGACTTGATTCTATGACTATGAACAAACATAAAACTCGGTTAGTAAAAATCATCCAATAGGAACCGCCAAGTCTACAGTCCACGTGGACTAGTTGGCAGCGGCTTTATTTCTCTGTATTGGTTTTTTTTGTCCTTTGAGAATGCCAACATCTTCAACTAGGCACAATACCGGTTACTTCAACTATACCAGTTCCCAAAATATAAATATTCCCTCATGGTATGATATAGTATGACTTGAAATATCTGAAACAACAAATAAACTGAATAGCTGAAAATTATATCACTTATTTCTTACAGATTCCTTGAAGATCCCACGAATCCAAGATGCTCATGAGGTTCTTGAATAAGGCTTCAAGCCGTCGGCGTGACGGTGAAAACCAGAGGGTTGCACAAGATGAAAACCATGAAGAACCAACCGAAGCTACCGAAGCTACCAGTAGTTCGTTTTCAGAAACCCCAAGAACCTCATCCAGGACATTATCGGGAACTGAGTCAGAACCAATAGATATCCCCCCTAGAGTGGGTAGGGCTTTATTGGATTATATGGAGAGGGATAGATTTCGGGAATTCATTCCAAAATCTAAAACTCCTACACCAAAGGAGTATAACTTTATTAGGGACGCCACGGCAAAAGAGTTAGAAGAGAGAATAGAAAGACAATTGGGCATTTCGAAACATGAAACTCAGGGCCCATCGCAAGGAGAGACGAAAAAGTAATGCATTGAACCTACCTTTTGATACAAGAGGAATTCCTTTTCCTCAAACTCAATGAAGCCAACAGGCATTCTTTTCAAATTCAAAAGTAGCAAATCTACATCTTAGTTGGATATGAGATATTTCCCGAATGAAAAACATGTCCCTCTCTCAAACACGAAATAGCAAAGTAGTTCACGGGGATACAGATTGAAAACTGTGAGTCTGGAACGGAGAGCATATATCACTTATTTCTTACAGATTCCTTTAATATCCCACGAATCCAAGATGCTCATGAGGTTCTTGAATAAGGCATCCAGCCGTCGGCGTGACGGTGAAAACCAGAGGGTTGCAAAAGATGAAAACCATGAAGAATCAACCGAAGCTACCAGTAGTTCGTTTTCAGAAACCCCAAGAACTTCATCCAGGACATTATCAGGAACTGAGTCAGAACCAATAGATATCCCCCTAGAGGGGAAAGGGCTTTATTGGATTATATGGAGAGGGATAGATTTCGGGAATTCATTCCAAAATCTAAAACGCCTACACCAAAGGAATATAACTTTATTAGGGACGCCACGGCAAAAGAGTTAGAAGAGAGAATAGAAAGACAATTGGGCATTTCGAAACATGAAATTCAGGGCCCATCACAAGGAGAGAAGAAAAAGTAATGCAAGATACAAGATACAAGAGGAGAGGAACCACAAGAGTTACAAATGAGAATAGTTTCTTTTCTTCTAATTCATTGAAGCCAACAGACGTCCCTTTCAAACTCAAAAGTAGCCAATCCACATCTGAGTTGGATATGAGATATTTCCCGAATGAATGTCCCTCTCTCAAACATGAAATAGCAAAGTACTTCACAGCGATACAAATTGAAAACTGTGAGTCTGGAACGGAGAGCACCATCAACCTCATCTTCATGAAACATTCGATTCTCTAAACTGTCTCAAAAGACAATGACATCCCCGAGTGAGAACAGTAAGGAGCTACTGAAGGAGAAGTCAAGTCAAGAACAGTCAAAATCCTTGAGAAGTATGTGAACCAATTGACATTCATATCAACTTATGTTTCGAGATGACATTATCAGGAACTGAGTCAGAACCAATAGATATCCCCCCTAGAGGGGGAAGGGCTTTATTGGATTATATGGAGAGGGATAGATTTCGGGAATTCATTCCAAAATCTAAAACGCCTACACCAAAGGAATATAACTTCATTAGGGACGCCACGGCAAAAGAGTTAGAAGAGAGAATAAAAAGACAATTGGGCATTTCGAAACATGAAATTCAGGGCCCATCGCAAGGATTGCGATTGATTGATACAAGAGGAGAGGAACCATAAGAGTTACAAATGAGAATAGTTTCTTTTCTTCTAACTCATTGAAGCCAACAGACGTCCCTTTCAAACTTAAAAGTAGCCAATCCACATCTGAGTTGGATATGAGATATTTCCCGAATGAATGTCCCTCTCTCAAACACGAAATAGCAAAGTAGTTCACAGCGATACAAATTGAAAACTGTGAGTCTGGAACGAAGAGCACCATCAACCTTATCTTTATGAAATGATTCGATTCTCTAAACTGTCTCAAAAGACAAAGACATCCCCGAGTGAGAACAGTAAGGAGCTACTGAAGAAGTCAAGTCAAGAACAGTCAAAATCCTTGAGAAGTGTGTGAACCAATTGACATTCCCTTTAGATTGAGAGGAAGACAATCCAGATCTGGTTGGTTTCCACATAATAATGCCACCTGACAACTTTATTGACCACGGAACAGCAAGGCAGTACTAGGAAACAGTACTAGGATAATAATAATTATAATATAGGTCTTAATTTCTCATAGCTGATGAATGTAAATCGAATCTATCGAAAAAAAATAACATTGGCAAAACGCCAAAGGTCAGGTGGTCCTGATCGAGATAAACAGACTTCTGTTATTATTCTTTAGCGTAAGGTGATATAATTGTGAGACGAGTAAACAAAATAAAGGAAAATAAGGAAATATTTTTTTTATTTAGCAGACACATACACCTATCTATGCATATCTACTACATCTTCGTGACAGCATATATACAATTTTTCGAGAACAGAATAGCACAATTCATCAATCTAATTTGTACCAGTATCTGATTGTTCATCAAGAAGATGAGTTTTCATTTTTCTTAAAACTTGTTAACTCAAAATATTTAAATCTTGGGGAATTCAATTATGAACCTTCGACACTTGATAAGAAAAGGATCATATGTTCTATGAATTGCACGTTTAGGAACGTTTATATTATGGATATCCTCTCTGAAAGAATTTTTGTTCGAATGGTAAGGTGGTGTTTTTGAACTGATAATTTTGTAAAACCGACAAGAACGAATGCAATATGCAATACTCATCTCCTTGCCATTTATGACTGATTGTTTCCTTTGAACATTATACAATATATAATCAAACATAAAATGAACATTTTTTTTTCAGCTTTATAAATGTTTCGACGAATTGCAAGTTAACTGTTACCTATCTGATGTATAGTTCTATCCGTGTTAGGAATCACACCTTGAAAGGTAGGACCTTGTTAGTCATTAACTCGCACAAGTTTCAACTTCTGAGGGTTGTCTTTCGTAGGGGTGCGACAGCTGGTTAACAGAAAAGCATATTTCGAATATGTATTTATTTTTTAACATATTCCTCAATTTTACACCCTACTGATGCAAATGAGCTTAAAGAAATAATTCAATCTTTTAAAAATAAAAAGGCCGCGAGAATAGACGAAATTTCAATTATCATTTTTGCTTACTTACTTACTTACTTACTTACGTAATCAACGTGTAAATTTTGCTAACACTATAAATATCAGTTCGTTTATTCATTGAATGTTCTTCGTTATTAATATGTATCATTTCCAAAAATATTCTTTCAGTTGAATTGGTTTCTCTATGTAAAATAATTGGATTTTCAAAATTCATTTTATGATCCTCCGAATCAACATGTTCTGTTAATGCACAAGAATTAACATTTCGTCTACAGTCACTCTTATGGGAAGTGATGCGACTACTTAGAGGTCTAGATGTTTGTCCTATATATGTTTTAGAACAATCCATACAAGAAATNTTCTGCACTGTTTGGTATCAATATTTATCTCTTTAGTGTAACTCGGCAGATGGCTATACATCTTCACACCATTGTTAAAATAAGGAGTCCTTGACTTGACTTGACTTGAGGTGGTAACCTCAAGTTTCACAAGATGTTTCTTAATCAAACACACTATCTTCAGAATAAAAAGAGATACAATAAACAGTTGGCTGCAAGAGTCACGAGGTTTAGCTTTGCACAAGTATCGTATAGCTCTCTTCCATAATACAAATACAGACTCCAGCAAATTAAGGCTACACACACCCCAAA